GGGGCCACCGACGTCTGCCTGCCGCTTTGCGTTACACCGGGGTGGGATGGGAAGGGATCGGGGCGGCGGGGGAGGCTGTCTGGACGACTCCCTTCCCCTCCCCAAGGGCTTAGGAAGGAGGGTTAGGAAGCAAGGGTTCCCAACTTCCCGGTCTTCTTGGACTACAAGTCCCATAAACCTTGGCCAGCAAGGCTCGCGATGAAGGTTTCTTTCTGGGAGCCGTCCAAGAATATCAGTTGGGACCCCAGGTGGGGAACCCCGTGGCTTTCTAGCAATGCCTCCGGGGCCTTTTTGGGGGGGGGGTCAGACCCTTTTAGCTTCGGGTTTGTTAGCGGCAGACGCCTGCTAAGTTTTCAGAACCTTCCCTCCGGAGAGCTCAGGCAGTGACATATTAACACGTATTTTAAAAATTGGTTGGTTTTTTTGGGGGGGGGTCTCCTCCTACCTTGCGCTGTTTGGGGAGAGAAGGAAGGGGTGGGTAAGGGCGAAGAAGAAAGGATGGGCCCCTCGGGGCATCGTCGGGGGTGAGATATTAGAGCAGAAAGGTGCCCCTCAGGCACTTTTGTGAGATGCTTGTGCGCTTTGGCGATCATGATGCTCGCAGCTGGTTCCCACACAACGCACGAAAAATGAAAGTAGTTCCGGGGAGAGAGAGAGAGGGAGAGAGAGAGAGATGGTAGGGGAGGTAGGTTTCCTTTCCTGAACGAGAAACCTCTGCCGCACACTGAAAGAACACAGTCTCTGTCAAGGGTGAGAAAAATCCTCTGCAGTTGGTAGTTTGCAAAGACATGAAGATCTTGCACTCCGTTTGAATTTTGGGACCCCAGAAACCCTCATCGGCCTGGGTAGCACGTCTGGTAGTTAATAAAAGCACCAAAAGAAAAAAGAAGAAACAAAGTGTGACAAACCCAGACCTACTGGGATCTGCCACACAGTTTCACCAAGCTGCCACCAACCATTCCCTTTAAGAAGTCACACAGACCAGGGATGGATTTTTAAACAAATAAAAGAATAAGGTTTATTTAAATACACACAGGGAAAAATAAACAATCAGGTGAATAAGATAAAGTAACGTGGCTTAGTTTCACTCATACACACACACAGTTTGGTTCACACAGAACCTTAACTTAAAGCACAGACCCTGAACCTATCAGTTCTGGCTAACCCACAGACACCTGAACCTATCAGGTTGGTACTCTGACACACAGTAGTACCCTGTCTGACACACAGACTCCCACAACAGCTTCTTCTTCCCAGCTGCTGCTTCGTCACCACCCAGTGTCTCTCAGCATCTCCCTTTAGTGTGTCTTCCACCACACAGGCATCACATATTTATACAGTACAGCCCCTCCTCCTGATGTCCCGCCTTCCACTCCCCATAGGATGGAACTTTCCCTCCAAACCCATGACAGACAGGTAACATCAGTGCTGTATGTAACACAAAGTTCCCCAGTTTTTTTGTGGGGGGCGAGTGTACTGGCAATGTATGGAAACTATTGGTTTAAAACCCCCAGCTCAGCCATGGGAGGAGGAAAAAAATCCAGATTACAGAGCTGATTATTGTAATTGCAAGTCTCCCTCAAATACACCCCCCTCCTGGTTGCTGTTAGTTTTAGCACAACTAAAACAGAGATTTAGTCAGAAACTCTGGTGTTGAGAAAGTCTTTTTTTTTAAGTTTCTAATTTACTCACACATCTTCATATACGTCAAAATAATTACTCACAAATCTTCATATATGTCAGAGAAACAAGCAAAACATAACTACTTCTTACATGGTTTGAGAACTTAACTAGTCAAACTTCATTATTTTGACTGACTGGTTACATAAACACTTCACGCACATTCTAAGTGCTGACTCCCAAACTGTCAAACTCACAGAATAACGCTGACATGGCTAACTAACACAGAACCTGACAAGCGAGAAAAGATGAAGAAAGGAAGAAGGAGCTGCAACGGTGTGACTGGCTTTCACCCCAAATCCTTCCCATCCAAACCTCCTAAAACAGTGATTCCCAAACTTTTTCAGGCTGTGAGCTGCTTTTGTAACAGACAGGTAACCTGCGACACCTTCCCACCACGTTTGCATAAAAAGCCATTTTTAATTGGGGTAAAGTCATCCCTTCTCAAGGAGGCTGTAGACATTCTGACCTTCAGCTGTCAGGGATTCCTGACTGGGCCAGGCTGTCAGGAATCCTAAAGATTTGAGCTTATTATGGGGTGCTGAGGCCTTGCCCTAAACACGAATGCCTCTCTAGAAGCCAACATTTTTAAATAAAAAGCAACCTAGCTTTAGCTTCATTCAACAGAGAAGGAAGGAAGGAAGGGAGGGAGGGAGGACAGGCAGACAGACAGGTGGGCCCATAAGGTTAACAGCTTTGTTTCAGCATTTTCATGGAGAATAATTTACTGGGCCAGGGGGCAGTACGCCATGGTTATGGGGCCAGGGTCAGGATGAAACGGGAGACAGCAAAGGGTGGTCTGCTTAGGACAAATGCCGGGGCTTGCCAGGAGCGGAGCCCGACGATGATCAGAGGAAGACAAAGAAAAGTGAAAATGTCGAAAACGGTAATAAGTTTCGGCAAAAGAAAGAAACGAGTCTGCTCAGCTGCTCGGCTGCCAAGAACACAGAAAGCCGTCCTTCTGCTGAATCGGTCAAGTCCGGGACATGTGGGGGGGATAAACCGAAGCCAAGTCACTGGTGTGACTTAAGTACGACCTGACAGGGAGACTCACAACTTGTCCCCCTCCATGCTAAAAAAAAAAAAAAGGACCCACAGTGGCTTCCATCCTTAAAAGACAGTATTAAAGCTAACCATGGTGAGTGTACAAGTACTAAAAAGGATCGAGTGGATGCCCTATGAAAAACAGAGGCAACACCAAAATGGATACCCTATGAAAAACAGAGGCAACACCAAAACTACATTCAAAGTCGTAAAGGCACCAAGATCTGTTTAAACCCCCCACTCAGGCCGCCAGTCACACAGGGAAAGCTTGCCTGAAGAAGGAGAGGCCTTGCTGTATTCATTTTTGCTCCGGTTTAATCCCCTGTAACCTTGAGTTTGATCATGCTGGAAACATCCATGTTCCGGACAAATAAATTAAAGTCACTGTGGACCCGGCTGCCCGCAGGAACCCCTGAGTTCCCCTCAATCTTGCCTGTCATCCTATGTTTGCAGGCGACCCTGATGGTGGGGCCCCCAGAAACTTGTGCTGCTATAAGTCCTGCTGCGATGCCTCTTGTCAGCTGAACTGCACCTGGGAGGCAGCCAGACATGATCCAGAAACCAGCTACAAACTCATCTTCCAGTAAGTGCAGCAGCAGGAGAGGGAGGAGGAAAAATTAAAGGGGTGTATGTGCCCTATTTGGCCCTTCCTTTATCTCTCGCTCTATCTGTGTCTACCAAGAAATTATATACAGTGGGATCCCCATATGTGTAGGATCGGTACCTGCGGCGTCACTTATCTGCGATTTGAAAAATATAAAAAATATTAAAATAATAAAACCTAGGCATATTATTTTTATTATGTATTTACCAGAACTGGCCACTAGATGGAGGTATAGAGATCATGCTATGTTAAAAATATACATAGCATGGTCTCTGGCTCCGTCTAGTGACGAGTTCTGGGAATACATGGTGAAAAAACATTTCTGGATTTTTTTTCTATTAACATGGCTAGTGTTCACTATTACCTGCGGTTTTCAGCATGGAAAGGGCTTGGAACCAAGATATTATCTTTTAATTGATGTAACCTGCTTCGCGTTTTTGTTTTAGAAGAAAGGTGGGGTTAAAGTATTTTAAATAAAACAAATAAAAAGTTTCTTTGTTCCCCCACCCCCCACCCTTGTAGGTATCATGATGATAAGAAAGGTGAGAACCGCCAGAGTTTTCAGGCTAAAGGACGGACCTCCCTGGTCATCAATCAGAATAATGTTTACGCCTTGAAAAAAGTAACCGTCTGGGTTGAGAGCCACTCTAGGGACCGTCCTCCGCTCCAGTCTGAAAATCAAACACTGCTGATCAACGAGGCCGGTGAGGAGGAACTTCCATTCGTCCATATGGGGCAAAACCCTCTTTTGCTTTTGTGTTACAGAGCTTTGTGTTTCTGGTGAAATTTCCTTGCTATGCAGTAGAAGTACAGAGATTTGCCGAGGAGAGTAGCTACGAGTTCTCCCAGCGAGGCCACCCCTTTCTCATTAACTAGCACTTTACCGTCTCAACAACTCACTCTGAGACACTGATAGGAGAAAGGATAAAAACGTTCCTTTACTTACGATGGTGGACAAATCAACAGCGAACTACCAACGGATTGCTTTGAAAGGGAGGGAAAGATCCACGCTGGGCTAGAAAGGTCCCTCCCAGCTAAACCGATTTCTAGGCAGCAGGAAAATCCCAAGATCCAGAGGGGAGCAGGGGGAGCGAAATGGAAAAGGAAAACTGGTCCTCTCGTTGCAGTGAAAATCGACGCGCCACCAGCCCAGTCCATCAGTGTTTCTCGATCCAGAGGCATCCTCACCGTCCGATGGTTTGAATCCCACCAGTGTGACCGTTTGCCCAGGATGGCAGAGGTCAGGCTGAGGCAGGAGAACGTGGGCAACTGGACCCTGGTGAGTTCAGAATCTTGGACGTATAAGAAATACAGCAGGACCCCTTTATCCGCGGGATCACTATCCGCGGATTCACGTAACCGATCCCCTGCTGGGCCACCTTGACAGGGGCCAGATGTGATCCAACAATGATGGTGAATGATTATCCTTTATGAATGACTGCTCAGTGAGTTAGGTCTCTGGCTGCAGAGCCAGAGGTTAGGCGTTTGAACCTAGACTTTAAAGTGCAGCAGAGGGAGTGGAACTGATATGAATTTGGCCGATCTCAGGGAGGGTTTTTATGCTTCAAACCCTGCTGCCTTGGAGGGTTGCTGCCTCGGTCCTCAGACAATTTCGGTGGGCTGTCAGGAAGCCACGCATGGCGCTGGGATCCCCATGACTCAGCCCCAGCTTCAGGCGTTCCACTTGGGTGGACCCCACTTCCTTGGTTGTACCCCCAAGCCTGCCAACCCCAACAGCGATTGGAAAAAAAACCCCAGCCCATTGTGTCAACCTGTGCTCCAGGGACACGTGGGTGCAGGAGAACCATAGCCAGCTGCTCCCGGGCTGTTATGACATCAATCCCCCAGAACCTCCCTCCAAGGCGCTGGGAGTTGGGGGGTGCCTTCGGCTGAGGAAGGGATTATGTGCCAGATGCAACGGGATCGAGGGGCTGGAGAGGGAAATGGGAAAAAGGCCGGGCAGTTTCCAAAAGGCTCACTCAGATGGCAGGTCTCTCTGCCTTGAAACGACCGGCACGTGCTCTCTGTGCAAGGGCCAAGATCCAAGAGAGAGCACCCCGGCCGGCACTGCTCTGTAGGCAGCCCAATTACTAGAAGTAACTAGTTACAAATTCCAAAGTTGGGGGGGGGAGGGAACAGGGAGATGTGCTGATCTATAGGAATTCAATAGATTCCCAAATCCACCTTTGCTAGGATCACAAATGTGCAAGCTTTAGGGTTCACAATGAACACTTCCAACAAACTGGGTTGTTTTAAAACTTTTCAACCCATGGAGTTTTCTGCATACAGGATACTGTACGCTTAATTCCAAGCTGCAGGTCTCTGTTGGCTTAAAACAGCCAGCCGAATCCTGGGGATTCCTCATCTTCCCCCGGAGGTGTGCCAGAGAACGTGGAAACTTGATCATTTTGTGAATTTGTAAGAGATCCTAATAAATACAGTAGAACCCCCATATCTGCGGGATCGGTATCTGTTGATTCACTTATAAAGGCTATATTTGTAAAGATGAAGTCACCAGAACTGGCCAATAGAGGGAGCCACAGACCATGCTACACTACAGTATTTATAGTGTTCACTGTAGTGTTTCTGATCATCTGCATTTTTCAGCATCC